ATATAAATTCAACCAATATGTGTGAATATATACAATTAGTTTTACAACAAAATTAAGTGTCAAGTTATGATTTTACGTATACGTATAACTCAAGATACTGCATATTTTTTATATATTTCCGCTTGTACAAATGATAGCGTTTTGTCACGGAAAATAATAAAACAATATTTAACCGATATGTGTAAATATACAACTTAGTTTTATAACAAAATTGGGTGTCAAGTTCTGATTTCAATGTATAAATATAGGTTGCGTAAAAAGATGAATTTCAGTAAAAAATTAAATTTCAGAAAGATAAAATATCAGTTGCGATAAAAAAACGGTTTTAAAATCACCTTTTATAATAAAGCATAGTAATTTAACTTTTTGCATTATATCTTTATTCAAGAAATCAAAAGATGTTTTGTATATAAAAATGTTACAGTAAAATTGTCTCTATTCATTTACATTAATAATTATTTTTAAAAAGTTATTGAAAGTAATAATTTAAAAAAATACTATTAACAAAAATAAATAGAGATAAGTTTATTGTAAAATTTTTCTACAAAATGGTTTTAATATCAAGGTATTTTTTTAAAATAAAACGAAAAAAACTAAAAATTGTTAACTGTTTAAACTGTTTTACATATAAGATTCCAGTCCTTCAAACCGTTTTTTAGTACTACCTGATATTTTTTAAATCCATCTATTTTCGTAATCTAGATAAGTGTATAAAGTTTCATTAAAATCAGAATTTAATACTTCGCGAGATTCCCCTATTAGTTTAAACCTAAACAAATAAATAATATATCTATATTTATATTTACATTTCAGATTTATTATGGTACTTACGGAATTAATCGGGACCGTCATTCTTGCCTTGAGCATTGTGTATATTTATTACAAATATGTGATATTTAATTTCTGGCGTAAAAAAGGTGTATTTTACGTCGAGCCCGTTGTACCAACTGGTAATGTAACAGCTCTCATAACTGGAAAGGTGCAAGTAGGCCAGTATATCTTTATTTAATATTAACATGCATATTATAAGTATATAATTATTTACATTTGCGCAACTCTCCACAGATTTGATTAAAAATTTTGTTTGAATTACAAAAATAAATTTAATATTTTTAAATAAGAATAATTAATAAACATAAAATTTAATAAAAAATGACAGATAAGGATTATACATATGTATGTGAAATTTCCAATAACTAGACCTTTATATTTCATAAAATTGTAATTAAACTTATAATTAATATATTTTTTCATTTCTTTCTAGGGGTCGTCCATATATTACGTAAGCATATTTTTGGCCATTTTTTATCCCTTCTCCTTCCCCATGTAAGCAAATATCAGAATTTTTGAACCCCCCCCCCCCTCCTCTAATTACATAAGATTTTCCCGATTATGCTCGATGTAAAGTTAATATTCGTTTTTCATGACATCAGCATGAAAAATCTTACGTATGGATATGTATGACCTCCCCTTCCCCCATTTAATGTAAAGTTAATATTGCTCGTTTTTCATGACAGCAGCATGAAAAATCTTACGTAAGGATATGTACGACCTCCCCCATGTAATTATTTGTCAGAATTTGATTGACTTCCCCCCTCTACCAGTCATGCTTACGTAATATACGGACGACCTTCTATAATTATTACAAATTTGTTTTCATTTTAATGAAATTAATAATCTCCGGTTGTTGTTTATTGTATTTTTACTTAAAATAAAGAATCACGGAAAATTAATTAAACTGAAGTTTTTATTAACAGGCGTATTCTTCCAGAATGCTTACATGAAGTATAAGCATCATCTCGCTTTTGGAATGTATACATTTTTTAAACCAAATTTGGTAATAGCCGATCCCGATCTTATTCGAACAGTGTTGACGAAAGAATTCGGAAGTTTCCATGATCGTGGAATGTATTGCAACGAAAAGATTGACCCATTGTCCGGTCATTTGTTTCTTATATCTGGAAAGAGATGGCGAAATATGCGCGTTCAAATGACACCCACTTTTACTTCAGGAAAAATAAAGCAGTTGTTTCCAATTCTGAAGGAGTGTAGCGAAGAATTCGCAAAATATTTAGAAAAGAAAGCACAGATGAGGGATTTCGTCGAGATGAAAGATATATTTGCAAGGTAAACTCTTTCAGGAAAAAATTGTTATTTGAATGACGTTTTAAACAACAAGAAATAGATATCTTACTTTAAAGATAAAAGTTGTTGTTATAAAAATTTGATATAAGAAGAAAGATAAGTATATTCTTCTTACAAAATAATTTTTTATTAATTATGCATATAAATGTTATTGCTTTTCCACAAATATGTAGAAATATACGTAATTTAATTGAAGAAAAACATAAAACATAAAACATTTTTTGCATAATTATATTGCAAAAGAGTAGACAATTGGTGAAATTATACTTTATTTCTGCTAAAGAAAAGTTGCCTTTATATTAAATTAGATGTAGAAGAAAAATACTTAATTTCGGAAAATCTTGTATATAAATATAAAGGATATAAAGAATGTTATTATCTAAAAATAAGTAAGTGCATAGGATAAAATATTCTCTCTGCTGATAAGTTAAGGAATCTTATCTTACATTTTTAAAAGTCATATATTATTTAAAAAACATTCTTGTCAACATTTAAAATGTATTAATGCAAACATGAACGATAAACATGAGGGATTACGTAAATGAATAGTAGCAAATATCGACAAATATTTCAATATATTTTAATTAAGTCATCAATTAAAATAAATTGCTGCAGTATTTAGATGTGATCAATCTGTTACGTTTCTTGGCTTTAATGTTCCGGACTAATTATTACATAACAGCGTTTAATATGTATGACAAATATTCTAATCTGGCAATATTGTAAACTATGGTAATGGAAATTTAAATTATTTATGTATAATACGTACGTACATAACGTAAGATGTAATTTTTGCATAAATTTATTATTGGGTAATGGTTGCTCTCTTGAACTAATTTTAAACAAAACTATGATTAGGAAATTTGATTAATACCATATTTAAAATTACGCGCGCGCGTGTGTATGTGTGAGAAGTAGGCTTTAGAGATTGTTTGTGTATTGTTGAAGATACCAAAAAACAGGAAAATTTCAGTACATTCTTGTATTATACATTAAGAACGTATTGAAAATAACAGCTTCGATTATTGATAAATCTGAATTTATGAAAGGCTACCGTTGCTTAAACAAACTGTACAAGTTCGTTAAGGTACACAAAAACAAAAACTATTATCTTTTAATAATAATGTAATTTAAAAGGTTTGTTGCAAAGACTGCGACGTTTCACGCTATACGCTATGTACACATGTTTTGGATTTTTAAAAGATTGTACAATTTATATATGTTTAATTTATTGTAGCTTTTATTATTCTGTATTTTATTTGCAATGTTTGAATTAAGTTTTTACTTATAATCAATCTGGATTTTAATCTCAATGTGTAAATTAACTTAAATTTTATCAGCTGATGAAAATTCTGTGAAGTCGAAACATTCTACTTCTTGATTAATGTTACATTGAAGGAAATTTTATTTATTTATTTTTACTTCTGTTTTTAATTTGTTCATTTATTGGCCTTTTAAACTTTATCTATTTTCTTTATTTACATATCACAAACTTGCGACTTTTAATCATTAATGTAATTTTTTTTCTTGATAAATATAGAATAAACTTAAAAAATTATTATATTAGATTATAAGCATTAAGATCAACAACATTGATATTCTAATCTTCAAAATTTTTTTTTATTTATTATGCACCAGTCTATTATTATCGATTAATATTTTCGAGTTATATTATCAAACAGTTAAGGAACTTTACAT